AGCTAACTAAAATTCATTGCTGGACATGCATCACTTATTCTCACCTGTTGAGAGAACGTATGAAAGGTACGAGTTGCTTAAGAAATATGCAGAACATATGATGTTGGAAAACACATGACATTTACACTTCTAGTATTTTCAGCACAGACTTTCATTTGATTTTACATGTAGTACGGGTTGTAGGAGAGAGTGGATGGATTTAAAAGGATACCTGTTGATCACTGTATCTTTATTTGATGATGGTTCGCTTGTGTGTTGGGCTGACACGGAACTGGTTGAGAATTCGTCCGAAATTACCCCTCTGTGGACTCTGCGCATACCAGGCTCAACGTGCACAGCGCTGCCCCTTCTATTCAAGAACAATCTACTTTCATGATAGTTTTTGGCTCAACGTGCTTATGTTCTGCTTGTTTCTTCTTTTAATGTATTTCTTTTTCTTTTTTTTCCCCATTGCAGATATTTCCAGAATCCCGAACCAGCTCCTGAAGCAGAGCAGTCAAGAGGAGGAGGATGTGCCTGTTAGCACAAGATATCTCCCATATGGCAGGCGATGCCTTTCCTATTCACCTGCTAATTGATCATGATATTTGTTTTTTAACCATTCATTCATGATCATTTCCATTTAAATCCCCAATTGTTACCATATGTACACTTGTGCTTTTGTATTGAGGTCATGACACAAAGTGTAGTAGCCTAGAGCCGGTTAGTGATTATTCGCTTCCTTTTGACCCTTTTAACGGCATAAGCGAGTAGTCAGTACTCTGAAACAAGTGTATCATATATGTACATTGTTTTTTTTTGAGGGTTTCAACCTTCGCAGTCTGTTGATGTGATGTGCAACTGACTCAATTGACGTATTGATTTTAAGGTGATGCCCCATGTGTAGACAATCTCGGCCTTTCGGTTCGATTATGGATGACGATTGATGGATGGAATCAGGTAGCACTGTAGGCTCTTGTGCTCTCTAGGTCAAGCGAGTAGTGGAGGTACACTCGTAAAGATTCCTCATTCCTTATATGCAGCATATATTCACAATTATGTACCTTAGCTTATACTTACTGTAAACAATTTGTCGCAGATTTCATTATCTTATTACTAATGTAAACTGGTTCTCATAGGATATCAGTCTATTTAGATGCAAAGTATGTTTCAAGATTGACCATGTCCTTAACAGTAAAATTTACTGAATAGCCATACATCAGGCCAGCAAAATCCCTTCGTAATTACACATCCAAGGTGCGCTCGCTCTCCACTCTATGACCCTCATCGTCATAGAGAAAGCAAGCATAAAACGTTACAAGGCTACCATTCGCGCTAAAAGCCAAGAACACGACCACTACAGCAAAAGGTGCTATCGACAAAACCTTATAGCTGAACAAGGCATATAGCTTCGTCGGAAAAAACCACACTGCCGACTTCAAGTACTGCCTCATCGCGTTCTTCTCCGTCGCTTTCATCAGCTTGTTGGAACACAAGAAGAGGACTATGAGGTTGAGATGAATAACGGCAGCGAGCCAAGGATTTCAAGTCGTCGAAGGACCGATAAATCTCTGAGAGCAAGTTGAAGAAGAGGAAGATGAAGATGAGAGGGGATATTAAGGATTGTTGCTCTGGGTTGGGTTTGGTCTCCATTGCTGTTTTTGTTTTCGAGAATTAAGGTGAGTTTAAGCTGGGCATTTAAATATCGAAGAAAATTTTAAAATCAACCCGTTCCGAATTTTAATCCCAAAAATCGACCCATTCCCAACTTATTTATCAAAATCGAAGAATTAAGGTGAGTTTAAGCTGGGCATATATAGTTGTTGCCTTCTTCTCATTCTTACATTTTGTGTTACCTTTTTAAAGTATAAAACTCATAATAAACAAGAAATCGAAGGAATTTTATTATTGAAGAACCTAATTAAAATCCACCAAGAATAGAAATCTGATCTCAAACATGGCTAGTTGTGATCAAAAGTCTGCCAAGTCTGAGAAGTTCACGTGTAAATTACAAATATCGAGCTAATCTGATGCGTTATTGCTTACAACCCTAGGTCTCCTCTCTGTGTAGATGGTTAAAATATACTCTTTCTTAGACCAATGCTTAGTTTGAGTCCAAGAAGTGAACGCCCATGGACTAAACACTTCAGATGGGCTTAAATATAAGCTACAATGAAGTTTGTTCGGGTCACACGTGAACATGACTGCATGCTAAACTCTAGCCCAGTTCATCCGATTCAAAGAAGACCCGAGTCCGAGTTAATCCTCTAGTTGGACTCTAGGCCGAGTTGAAAGGCGTCTTCAAGTCGGACTCTGGACCGAGTTGAAAGGCGATCTCAAATTGAACTCTGGGCTGAGTCCAAGTGTAGTAGCGAAGTTCGCTCAAATTCGTATGCGAACTTCGCCCAAAAGACCTATGTGAGCCGCATCATCCACATCCCAAGGATTATAGACAAGCAATTAATCTCTCAAGTCACGAGAGGTCTGAATTGATACTCGGCATAAGTCTGATACTTGAGTCCAATACAAGCTCAAGAAGTGGACGCCTAAATTAAAATGGCCCAAGCACATGCCCATGAAGTTCATTGAAACCATACCGAAGTTCGCCGAAACCAAAGCCGCAGTGAAGCTCACTAAAGCAGTAGCGAGTTTCGCCCAATAGCCCACGTGGGCATGTCATTGATACTAGCAAAGTTCGCTCATGGTCGTTATTGACGAACTTCGCTATGGTCATCATTAGCGAACCTCACCCATGACCATTATTAGCGAACCTCGCCCATAACCGTTTGCAGAAGCTACTTTTAACAAAACGGTTCACCCCACTAACTCACTCATTTAAGGGGGTTAATGACCACTAATTCACTAGAGAGTTAAGGCCTACTAAACCCACTTAATACTCCTAAGCCTATAAATAGACATGGTAAACATGAAAGAGTTTAGAAGCTACATCGACAAAGAGTCCATCTCTCCTCCATTCTCATTGATCTTCATAGATCATTGTTATCAGCTAATCATTTGGCTCGATTAATGATCATTGTGGGAGAGGATTCGTTCTAGCTAGTCGCCTAGCTTAAGCACCAATACTTGTGAGAAATGATTTGTTAATATATCTTCGAGTTAGATAATATCTATTCGCTCGGAGATCATCAGACATGCGAAAGACTAGATAACACACACGCACACGAACAAAGGCGAAAGTGGTATTCAGTTTCTTCTTGATATCTCTTCATCCAGAGAAGACTGCACATATTTTCCAAGAGATCAGATATCATTAACGGCAAAAGACTCATTGTCTTAGTCAAACCGTCAATGGAGTACAAGATTGACGCTCCATTGGCACACAGAAAAGAGCAGGAAATATAAATTTTCCTTATTTCAATTATTCTTTTTATTGTAGTTTGAGCTAATTATAATATAAAAGACTTGAAACACTCTGCAATTGATGACCGCACCTACCCATACTCCTTCATCACCTGCTAAAACCCCTCAAACTTTCACTTCTTACAAAACTCCCGAGGGCATAGATTTTTATTTTATAACCGAAATTCTTAGCACATTCTCTGACAAAATTCATGACATTTATTATGAGTATAAGGGTGCAAAAGAAATGCGGGAAGCAATAGAGTTTTTTATTGAATGGTAGGTGGTAAACCTATCAATGGCCAACTCCATGAACTTCAGGACTTCATTCGACACCTCTAGAGTCCAAAGGAAATACATTGTCTAAAAGTAACTCTTTACTACGCCCTACGTGTACCTTCATTTAGGAGGAATCTGATCAGTGAATCCATTCTGATGGAAGTTGGAGAATCAAATAAATTAATCATTTCCAAGAATAATGTATTTATCTCCTATTATAATGAACCTTCCAATAATGCATATTTTTCCTTTCTTTCCTCCTATTATAAAGGTTGAATCTTAGGGGGTGTTTGGTTCAATTTCTAGAAATTATAGAAAATGTTTTCCACCTAAAATATGATTTCCTTGTATTTCTTAAAAAAATTATAGGAAAAATTTTGAGAAATAAAAAAATATCAATTTTCTTGTTTTTTATACTTTGCTTGTTTGGTTCAAAACAAGAAAATAGCTAATAACTTCATAGAAAATAATAAGATTTGGTAGGTTTTTAATTAAATATTGTATGTGTCAGATTTCTGGTGATTTCCTCTCATTTTGAGAGGAAATTGTTTTTTGTAAAATTTGGTAGGTTTTGATATTTTATAGAAAATATTTCTGTAAATATTTTGTTGAACCAAACGCAATTTACAGAAATCTCTGAAAAACTTTTAATTACAAATTTACCATTGTCAGATGTTTTGAGAAAAGTTTTCTCAAAAAGTGTGTAACCAAACAGCCCCTTATGATAAATGGCATGCATGAATGATCTTTGACAAGCTGGTTCTTGGAATGAAATTATCTACATCCTTTAGGGGTACGTCTCTTGTGTATGTTTATTATCATTGAGAAAATGCCTCATCAATCCATTTTTTTTCAAAAACTAATCCTTTAGGTACCGTTTGGCAAATGGTTAAGTGAGGGGTTAAGGAGACTTAACCCATTCTTAACCTGCCAAACACAACAAATCTATATAAAGGTTAAAGTGAGTTAACATTCCATAATTTGCCAAACATAAAAAATATAGAAGGGTTAAGTTAACTCCTCTAGAGGGGTTAAAATGAGTTAACCCCTCAAAATGAGGGGTTTACTAATACTCCTATTTAGATGGAATAAGAGTTAACCCTTCTAATTATAAAGAAAATAGTCAAAATCATTGTTATTCCCAAACACTAAAACTGATCATAAGGGCTAAAATAAAACTTATTTAACGGGTTAATAATTTAGTCATTCGGATTATCAAATGGGCTAAGTACATTAATCCTTATCTTTAACCCCTCTTCATTAACCCTTTACCAAACGGGGTCTTAGTATACCTGAGTTTCAATTGCCCTGAAGGATAATGAAGGTGAATATGCGTCTCAATACGCATACACTTTTGAAGACCGAGCTTATAATATTAGATACTAGCTGTCCTAAAGCTGAGTGCCTCTTGACTTTGTAAAGACATAGGAAGATCTTACAAACCACTTGATACAGGGTCTATCTAGGGGACTTTAGTCCTATAATCATTGAGGAGAATTAGGTTAAGCCCATAGTTGAGGTCACCTGTAGTGAGAACCCGACTTTCTGATTGGCGAACTGTTCCCAAGAAGTAGGTTCATTATGGTATAAGCAAGTTGGACCGGTGACTCCCATATGGAGCATTAACTTTCGGAGTTACACTCCTTTTTGTAGCGTTAAATACATTTATGATTTGCACTATATTAGCTATAACTTCATGCCTATGATGACGTTGCTCTTATGATGCATCTTGTTAGGATGAGTTGTACTCTTAATAAATCCAACATATGATTTGTACGTAGGGGTACAATATCTAGGTGTAGCACTCTTGGAGGGCTTACCTAACCGTGAATGCCGCAGTTGAGGGACATAGGATGCTCTATAGAAACTCTCGTGAGACAGCATTTGTGAGCATGACCATTATCGCCCCAACCCGCTCGCTCAATGGATGAATGCATAATGTGTGTGAATTTCGACAATTTGATAAAGAGGCCTAATTCAAGGCCTAGTCCATTATTGTCTCTAAGGATGCAACAAATATCATTACAAGAAGGTTCAAAGCCAAAAGCTACCTACTGTAAATCCACGGTATAGGGTTGCCTGACCTTTTTTTTATTTTAAACATATTTCTTTCTCCTATAATCATCCTGAAACCCAACCTTTTGAGAGGGACTGTTGGGTTAGTTATGTTTTGTATGAAAAGATCGAGTTTCTAAGACGTCTTATCTTTTTCCTATGTTAATTATTCTTATCTCTAATTCAAGAAACTGAATTTGTTGTAACCAATCCTAATCTCCTACGCTTCTTTGGCACTCGAAATGGGGAAAAAATCTGTTAAACATGAGAATCATGGGGAGAGTTTGTGGGGAATCACAGAGGAAATGCTGTAAGTTTTGAAACATCTCTTTCCCAAGGCCTTTAAAAAGGATGCATAGAAAGAAAAAGGAAAAAAAAACTCATGCTCTCCTACACCTCTCT